AGAATGTGGAATGAACTTCCAGTTGAAGTGAGAAAAAGCGAGTCATTGAATTCTTTTATATCGAATATTGTTATAACACATAAAACTGCTCCTCAATACTTTGATTCTGGACCGAGAATCACTAACATCATCCTTACAAAACTACGTTACACCTGTAGTCAGTTGAATTATGATCTATTCCGTGCTGGTTTAAGAGATAACCCAAGTTGTTCTTGTGGAAATGTTTGTGAAAATTCTTATCATTACTTATTTGACTGTCAATTATATACAGTACAGAGAACTATCATGATGACTAATTTACGCAGTATTACAAATGTGGATATAACCTATGAGTTACTATTACATGGCAATGCAGATCTGACTGTTCACATAAATCAAAACATATTTAAAATTGTTCAAACATATATTTGTCATTCAAAACGATTTTCTTAAATGTTGCAATTGTTCCTCTTTTTCCCATATTTCTGCTCTGTTCTTCTCTGTCCATCTTGTAGAATGAATGTAAATAATACTATGTAAATACTACGGAGAGGGTGTTCTAAGTTGTATAACTTGTACCCAATCCTTTTCTTATGAATAAAATATGTTTAAAACAAAGAACTCCAGCTGCTTGATTCAGAAGAATCGAAGAGTTCTACCCTATTAAATTCTAGAAGTCAAATGAAGTTACTGTTGACGTAGGTAAGAAATTCTCCAGCAGTAAATAAGAATATAGGGAACAGCTTTTGCAACCACTTTACACGGTAAGGTTTCTTTCAAAACAAATCCTACAGAAAACATGTGTACGTTTTCGGAACGATTTTGCCCGGACATTGTCATTGTGGCGGCCATATGACTCCTGATGTATGACGCGACTCGCCATAACGGCAATGAGATATGTACTGAGACATATCAATATGGCTGCCGCGAGACATTGATGTGGAGTCCGAATACATGTTTGGGCTCAATATGGCTGCCATGAGACATATATTAAGACATATATCAGCATGACTCCTGGTGGGACTTAATATGGCTGCCATGAGGCATATATTCAGACATATGACAGCATGATTCCTGATGGGACTCAATATGTTTCATGATAGTGGTTGAACTGTTAGAACATCTCTTTATGTTACATGTTGTGCGCTTACTGCACATGAAGCTACAACAAATGCTTAATATTCTTTATTGCAGTATGAACAAGCAGAGTTCTTGATTGCATTATTCCTGCGCTCAGTCAGTAACTAAAGAACAGTAACAATATTTGTGTTCGGAATCTAAAAAAGATACCACACGAGGTCAATACGCACAGTGTTGTTATACTTTACAGTATTTAATTTCCCCATACGTATACGCATGCAAGTAGCTCAAGTTAAATCAAATTATGCATATTTACAAATGTAAACAATATTCAGTTTATCTGGGAGTCTGGAGAAGGGTCCTATAAACATATCAATCAAATCTTGTCAATGATCATATGTAATTACCATGAAATGGCTATGGTAACGGGTATTTGCAGAAAACATGAGCATAGTGAACACCATGGATACCCGTGACATATAATCACAAAGGTCAACACGTAAAAACGGCGTAATGGACGTACATTGCTTCAATATTGCTGCTTTATGGTAATGATGCAAACTCGCAATGACAGCTCAGTGCCATTCTTGTAATATTCTTAATATTCGAGTATGTGTATCTGTTTTCGGTGAGTACGACATGCACGCACACACACACACACACACACACACACACACACACACACACACACACACACACACACACACACACATGTAAGCACACAAAGAACACTATAAGAATCTTACACTACATATCGTCTTGGTGGCCTTGCTGATTGGGCCTTGCCGAGAGAGGAAGGCCTGTAGTTCGACCCTGTTCGCGTCATGTTGAAAAGCACATGTAAAATATTGTTGTTGACCTGTGATGGGCACTGAAGGGTAACACACGGGCCGTTCTGCTCTGCGTTATTTAACTATATCGAGTATCCGTGCGGTCCTGCGGAATAGTATTACTGTCAACTGACTATATAAAACCGGCGCATTCTTTGTGTTCCAAACAATAAATGTGTAAATGTGAAAATCATGAATCACAATTCAATTCATTTTAACACAATTACACTTGTTTGTAGCATTATTTAAGTTTCGGTCCAATGGCCAACATATTTTCCTTTACTCAAAAACTTTCCTTGTTTCGAAAAAATACAAATGTACTTTTCATCAGTGTTACTTTCAACATCCAAAATTGGAATCTAACTGTCACTTGATGATACAGTTACAAAACATTTAATAAATCAGCAACAAGACGTTTCATAACTGAACATAGCTAACTATAAAACCGCCTGATCCTACATGCGGCTATGCCCGTGTGCTTGGGAACAGAAGAAGAAGAGAAGAAATATATACTGATTTACAAACATATTGTGATAAAAGTGAGATTTTCGGCAGGTTCGATTCCCTAGTACCTACATGAACTTACAGGAGTTGCAGCTATAGGACCCGGTTGCGTTAGTGAGTACTTCGGATGTATTCCAGGTCAGTCAGTCAGTCAGTCAATCAGACTGTCTGTTGTGGTTAATCGCCACATGTGGAGCTCTACCTCATTACGTTCTGTTAAAGAACAAACAACCCCCCACCCCCCCCCCACCCCCAATATGTTGATTTAATAATAAAGATATAATTGGAAGTAAGTAAGGTTAGACGGGGTGGATAGATTCATTTTTGCCGGCATGTTATAGTGAATCTATGCAACCTGTAGTGTATTAGAGAAAGAATTGAGGTTAGGAATAATTAGCTCATTTAATGGAAGTCCGAGGTATAAATTGAAGTTAGCTGTAGTTTACGAAGTTTACAGCAGAATCAATGTCAGTTTGTAACACTCTTTTGAGGTAGCTCTCGTGTGATGTTGCCACCGGTTACGAAGTTTAGTGCAGAACAAAGGTCAGTTTGTAACACTCTTTTGTGGTAGCTCTCGTGTATTGTTGCCGCTGTTTTTGAAGGTTAATGCAGAACCAAGGTCAGGTTGTAACACTATCTTGTGGTAGCGCTTGTGCGATGTTTGACGCGGTATGTACACGAAACACGCTGATGTGCTAAAACGGCATCCGGCTATCAGGCCTACGAGACACTAGATTTCGTGAAAACTATACTCAAGTTAAATAAGGTACATGTTAAAAATATTCAGATGCAGTGGTTTATACGTACATGTGTGACAGCGCTTTGAATGTCTGATCCATATATACCAAGCGCTTTTACACATGTACGTACAAACACATTCACACCGAAGCATCTGTCACCATGTGGCCACGCATCCCGCGCACACTCCCTAATCACACACACATTCGGGGACTATGTAACATATGTGCCTTCTGTCACACACATTCGGGAACTATCGAACATATGTGCCTTCTGTCACACACATTTATGTTCAGAGAGGAACATACCTCAGATATGAAATGCATACACCAACACAGAACAATGTGTGTAGGTTTCACATGGGTGAACTCCAAAACCGAAACCCACTGACAGACGTGTATGTACAATCATCAAACGACATCTTGGTTTATATAACCAGTCGGCCGTGGTAATCGGTGCTGGCAGTACGTGTAATAAAGTTGATGTGGAACTCTGAACTCTGTGTAATTCTGAACTATCAACTAAATCTGAAAATATACTAATTGTTGGTGACATGAAGTCTCGAGCAGGTATTTTACAAGACTATGTTACTATCAAGTATGATATTGATAAGTGCACGACTTTAACACAGTGTACTCTGTTATACACGCTCCTATATCTGTGTCCTTTTCAGTTTCACATACTGATACAAGCGAAGGCAATCAGGTAACAAAAAATCGGAACAAAACATTTGTTAATGATTACGTAGATGCCATTGACAGAGACATTGCCGACTCTACTGTTAATGATTTATGTTCCCAAAATGACCCACGTAATGTTATTACCGCCGTAAACAATACAATAAGCAATGTACTTGTCGCCACAGTCGGCAGCTAGTGCTCAAAAGAAAGTATACAGTGTAGTTGACCAAATTTGAAAAGAAACCAAAAGCATATATAATTGAACATCTGTTTAATTTCAATAAGAGTATTCAATTCTACAGCAAATGAACACAATTTCATTTCATATAAACCCGAAATTACCACTTGACTGACACTGAAATTCACGTGGTATCATAGTCTGAACTTTTACACAAATCAACAAGGCGGATTTTTTCTGCAAAATATCATAAAATGTTAAATCAATAATGAGTGTGACCACCATTGGCTTCAATACCCGCCAAAACACGTCGACATATTGATGAGGTAAGACGACGAATGACGTTAGGCGAATGATCCGTTGCCATTCCTGTAGGATACATTGTTCCAGTTGTTTTGCTGGTGACAGGTGGCACTGGTTGTCTTCTGACTTGTCGATCCAGGTAGTCAAATAAATGTATTATTGGATTGATGTCGGGAGAACATGCTGGCTACGGCAAAACAAGGATGTTAGCGTTATGCAGAAAGTCGTTTGTCAGTCTTGCTGTACATATGTAAGGCCTTGCGTTGTGGTGTGGGTAGACAATGCCCCGTGGTTGTTGCTAGATAAATGGCAACAGATCTGGTCGCAAAACTTCATCCCAGTATCGTCGATCATTCAGGTTGCCATGAATAATCACAAGTCTCATTTTAAGATCGCCGCCATTCTCCCCATCACGCTTCGAGATCCAAACGGTCGGACTTGCTGAACGCAATTCGGCGTTAAACGTTTACCTATTCGTCTGTTAAACGAACCCGGCCGCCATCGTCTGTTGATATCACACGTCGCCAATCACGCATCTGGCAGCGTAGAACTCGCCTTGCCCATGTCAATTGGCGACGTCAGATGCACGCCGCGGTAAGAGTCGACGTGCTCGAATACCATGTTCTCATAGTCACCGGTACACTGTATGTCAACTGATACGGTGTCCTCGTGCCGTCGCTGTATTTGACTTTGCCGTTACATAACGACTTCTCAGATGAATAGTCCTGATATGGCGATCATCAGTGGCAACCGGATATGCTCCGAAGTCCAGGCACCCTGGCGGCTGTGCTCTCACCCGTGGCAGTACCACCACGCAAATGTAGTACCCGGATTTACCGATCTTGGGCTGCAGTGGTGACTCAAGGTCTGCCTGTACCGGGGCAGCCATATGTTATGCCTGTTTGGTTGTAACGAGCTGCAAGTAGTGATATCGTGCTCAGACTAACATTCAGACGCCTGGCAACAGAAAATTGTTAATCTCCAGCGTACATTCTTTCAATGGCAATGTTACGTGTCGCAGCTTCAACACTTGGCGTGGTGATTTGACCTTGAAACTCCTTCAAAACGGATGCCGATTTCCGAAAGTAACCTGGATTTTTATAGCCAAACAGTGCATGCTCTTTGCTGCACAATTTCAACTGGAAGGTGATTTTTGTTGCGTTGTGGCGATGCAATTTTAATTCTTGTAAGAAATCTCATCAAAATCAACATTTTCAGGTAAAGTCGACTTTTCACACGTGCAACTGTGTGAAATCATGTTATCAACACTTTGTTACTTATTTTGACGATTGTTTGAACACAATAGGTTATTAATAGATTTTAAAAAATACAAAACGCCTATGCGTTTCTTTTTTGGGATAGTATATTAAAGGGCAAAAAAGGTGGCACCAAAAAGCTTGCGGACTAATAATTACTTTTTCATTTTTTCAGGATGTTAAGATTGTTGCACGTGGCCGTCCTTAAACCTGAATCAAGGGACCGCTAATTACACGTAGGCCGCTTTACCTGCGTATGAATACATAGCACTCGCTGACCCTATTGTTTGTAAACAAACATTTCGTCTGAATCAGACTTCATCGATTTTCATAGTATTTCTGAAGCACATTGAGAAAGTTACAAATTATACTTTTGAATTAAACTTAGGTTAAAAGAGCCTTATGAACATTTGTCCTTTTTCCATTCGTAATTTGCTATCATTGTTAAACAATTGATAAAACGGAAAGATAGTAAACTGGCCATTCCCGCATTAATCAATGTGTTTGCGTACATTTATACATCGCACATTAGGATCTCGAATTTGTTGTCTGTGTACAGTGACTCGGTCCTTTGGTTGCATTCCAGTTTCTCTAATATAATGCTCACCACATCCCGCACATATTAAAACATATATAACAATTTTGCTGCGGCAGTTCATGTTGGTTTTGATAGTAAATAGTTTGTCTTCACAAAATGTAAATTTACAGTTCAGTTATGATTGAACAAGTTCCACATCGAGGTGTGTGACATTTTGTTACACTGACAGCGTTTGTATGTTGTGAATATTTAGATGGACAAAGGATTTGTTTTAGATTTTTAGGCTTCCTAGTGCTTCGTATAAATTTAGTCTTGGATAAACCTTTTTTCATAGTATCACTTTTATACAAAATTGGAAGATTTGCTTTTATAATGGGCATAATTGTACAGTTATTAGTATTGTACGTACAAACAAATGGAAGACTGTCCGCCTCTGTATTTATTTCTTTTGTTTTCATAAGTGTCTCCCTTGGAACTTTTACTGCTTTATGAACGGCATTTTCAACTACCCCACGTCGATATCCTTCTGGTTGAAGATATGTCTTCAATTCTTCTAATCTTGCCCTTCTTGTGTCCACATCCGAAACAATAGTACACACTCTTCTTGCCATTGCATATGGAATATTTATTTATATATATAAATATATATATATATATAAAACCTTTTAACACGGTTTTAGACAAAGGGAGTTTCCGAGAAAGCTGGTTAAGTGGAGTAATAATGCCTACCTATAACCACAAATGTGATCCAAATGTACCAGACAATTATAGACCTATTACAATGATGAACGGTTTCGGGAAATTGTTTACTTCTGTTTTAAACAATCGCCTTACAAAATTCGTAAACTCTAATACAATATTATCTGAAGCACAAGCTGGATTTAGAAAAGGGTATTCAAAACGAATCAAAAAAAGCCTTTGACACTGTATGGCGGTCGGAACTATGGCAAAATCTGATATCAAACAACATAACCGGAAAATGCTTTAAAGTTATTCATAACATGTATACAAATATCAAATCTTGTGTATCATGTAATGGAGAGAAGACCAGTTTCTTCCCATGTACGTCTGGCGTTCGACAAGGTGAAAATGTATCACCGATACTATTTTACAATATTTCTGAATGACCTTGAATATAATCTACAAAATGACAACTGTAAAGGAGTCGAATTACATCCGGGTTATTTTAACAACCGATTAGAAAATATGATGAATCCATTTGTTTTGTTATATGCCACAATACCGTTTTGCTGGCATCAGACAAGTGTGCGCAATAGCCAATCTCAGTCACTGGCCCGACTTGCTAGTGAATTTTCATGGGGTCATTTTGTAAACATATCACTATCTCCGACTTGTTAAGTTATAACACGTCCTCCTGAGAGGATACATAAGTCCCAAAACATTATCTCCCCTTTTTTTTAATCTTAGAATATATGTTCGTTAATTTGTGGCTAGATTATCTAAAATTGCTAATAGCTGAAGGGATGGTGTAAATCCAGCTAGGGTCCACGCAGGAAGCAAATGTACTATAAGTCCCCATGGTCCCTAGTATGGTGATCTCCCTTCAGTTGTTGGCAATATATAGCCTGTTTTTACCTTGTATTGTCATCTATAGTTAAACTGTTTTAGATTTAATTAATAGTTTTAAATTCGAAGCTGTGATAATCTAGTTATTTTACTGCCCTTCGTTGACAGGTTTTTACAATTTACCATTAACTACTTTGTATAAAATTAATTGTTCTCATCACGATATGGCTGAAATATTGCCGATGTGACGATAAATTTTAACTCACTCACTCGCTAAGTTATAACACACTTTTAAATCATGCAAGATTATGACCTGATAAAAATGTTCATCATATTAGAAGATTAATGATGAAACCCGTGTCATGCCGACAATATCTTATTCTCATCTATGTTTTGCTTAGTTTCTACATTCTAATTTCGGTCTAGTGAATTAATTTGTGGCCTAGTAACTTTCAGGCATAGTTAACCTGTCTGGCTAGCAAACTGTGGAAACTATTTACAATATATGTCAGATTGCTTTGTTAAATATTGTCAAGCATGGAGACTTAATATAAATGTATCCAAGACAAATATACTTCTATTTACTGGTTCCACTAAAGATTATAAATAATGTTTCAAAATTGGAAATTACAGTATAGAGAACGTGTCTTCTTATTAATACCTAGGAATTGCAATGCAAAAAATAATACATTCACTTTAATAAGAAGAATCTAGCTGAGAAGGCAAAAAAACATGCATTTTGTTTTAAGCAAAGGTAGATCACTTACTTTGTCAGTTACGATTGTTCGATTGCTTGGTTGCCCCTTTTTTCTTAATGGGTGTGAATTATGGTGATAATTCTTGGGTAGAAAATATTCACATAAAATTAAAGGAACTCCTCTCATTGGGTAAAAGCACCCCTTCCTTCATAGTTTATGGGGAACTGGGGAGATATCCACTTTAAACTGAAATTAAATCACGAATGTTACTCTTTGGGTGAAAACACATTTTAGGAAAGCTGGCTTCTACATTTTCTCTCCTAATTTTTAGATAACTTACTGTATATTAGTTCAACTTGTAACACATCTGGCTATACATAGACTTCCTGTATTAAGGACACGTTTGACAAAATAGGAATGAGTTATATTTGGGCTACACAGGCATATCCTAATAGTCTTAAAGCACTTGTAAACAGACTGAAAGAAACTAAGCTACACACTTGGATATCAAACACAGAAAAATCTTCAATAGGAGATATTTATCATATTTTTATAAATTCTGAACTGAAATAGGTAACCTATCTGAATTTATTATATTATAATAATCGGAGGGCTTTACTTAATTTCAGAACTTCAAAGCATTTCCTGCCAGTTGAAACAGAGCAATGGATTAAAACACCCCCAAATGAAAGATAACGTACTCTTTATAATACAAACGATATTGGAGATGAATTTCACTTTTTGTTTATTTGCCCAGCCTTGGCCCCATAAAGTAAAAATGTATCAACAACTATTACTATAGAAACTCGAAAATGCACAAAATGAGCCAGATTTTTCACTCTAACAAACTAGGAACAATTAGGAAATTAGTAATATTTTGCAAAATATTAATGTTTCATTTAAGCAACGCCCCCACAAAAGATAAACAAAAACACATGATCGTAACATTGTTCACTTAACTGGTTAAATGCATGTACAGACACAGTTTTTTCTTGCAACCAAGCGATATGTATGTATTACCACTTTGTGTACCATACATGTATATAACATATATAAGTTGTACATAATGATGTAAACATGTACCTCCAATGGCGGTGTGAGTAGGAGGGAAGGGGGGCGACAGCTTCGTGTGTAGAGAGCGACATTTCTCAACTTCAAACGACCACTGAATTAAATCAGGGAGACGACATAGGCAAGTGGGAAACAGCTTTACGGTGCTGGATTCCAAATCGTTATTTCCATTCCAGACTTTCATGATTCCCTTGACAATGTTCTCGATTAAAAAATAGAAAACCTAACAAAATAAATTGAACATTTAATAGATGGGCGAGCATGTATGACAGAACCTTCCACTGTGGAAAATCTGTTTCCTTTCAAATGTCTGGCATGCCATGCCTATGTGTAGTATTCCGGTTCCGTCGTGAAGCCTGCAAACGTCACACGGAAAGGCAAGTACGTTGACCGCTCTGAAGCACTATATGCAAAGCTGAGAAGCCCCTGGCTCCGCTGACGATGCCATGACTCCATCTTTTCAAGTCGTGAAAATACTTATCAACAATAAAGAAGATTGTCACTTTGGTTGCAACTCGGTATTTTATAACCTTTGTTTACCTAATGCGGTTTCTCATTCTACGATACTCTGACTGGTTACGCTCCCTCCAGCAATGTAAGAACAGTGGCTATCACAAGTGAAACCAGTCGAGATTAGTTTAGTTAATTACCAAATGTTGCTTCCGCAAACAAACAGCACATGTCAATACCTTAAAATTGTGAATGTTGTTGGCATAATTTGCAAAATGAGCGACCCGTTAATGTAGCTACATCGCCATTCAGCCTTGTCAGTCAGCACGTCTCAACCAAATATTATGCAACCAAGCGGAACTGTGCTGTGCATATAGTGTGCATGTCATGATATTAGTAGTTAAAAACACTACCAAAGTCAAATAACGTAAGAAATTAAGTAACTATTTGGAACTGTTGTTTTCTTCATTAGTTTTCTTCATCATTTTTCTGTTAACCTAATGGGCTAGTCTATTTTACTGCAAGACCGACAAGAACAGTTTTGTAAATGTCTCTTAAATGTTATGAAGCGAACAGGGTCGAACTACCAGCTTTCCTTCCTCGGCAATGCCCAAACTACCTTGATGGTCTGTGGTGTGAAGCTACTCGTTGCGTTATTTGTGTGCGTACGTACCACACATCGTTATGTAATGTCCAATCATTTTTCTGCCAATATGGTGCCAGAGAAAAATGAATGTCCACTACACAGTTGTCACGACAGATCGAGAAGACAGGGCACTATTGAGGCTCACTCGATGACAACCATACGCCACAAGCCATGTTCCGAAGCACCTCTGGTTACCAGGTCCTCTGCTGAGCAATCATCACCAACAAGCACATTTGGCTTGGGGTTTACCACGGCACCGCTGGAATCTGAGGCCTGGAATACATTGGTCTGATGAAAGCCGATTCCTTCTTCATGTAACTGATGGCGCCTGAGAGTTTGGAGGCAGCGAAATACATTATTTGCAGCCAAAAAAACCCGATTCAACCAACTGATGAATATTTCAGCGACATTCAGAATAATCCTTTGACTCAATATATCTAGAAAGCGTTGGATCGCGTTGTTGTACCCCTCTTTTCAATAATCACCCTCTTGCTAGAAAGCCTGTATTTATGGATGACAACGCTCGGCCATATTCAGAATAATGCAGTGACGCACTTTCCGTGGTCCGCCATGAGTCCAGATGCAAAACACACACACACGCACACGCACACACACACACACACACACACACGAGCACATTTGGGACTTTATCGGGCGACGGAAACCAGCACGTGTACCACCTGTTCAAAATGTGCATCCGTTGGAAGCAGTTTTGTAGACAGTTTCCTCTGCAACGGGATACACCTGACAGGGAAGGGGTACACCAGATCATTTTGGATCTGCTAAATATATAGCACTAATCTGATCTACAACATTAGCTGATGCACTGTTGCAGGCTGAATTTACCCCGTTGTCTCGACCACTGCAATGCCGGTTGTATTGTATATGTCAGTTACACCTTGTCAGCGGCTGAAAAACTGTGGATCATGGGACAAACTGTTCATGCAGACCTCGAATTTATCACCATGGTCTGATCCAGCAAGATCTCATGTTTGGTTGATATCTAGACGTATTCGTGTACAAACCGCTGGAGTATTACCCCATTTATCCTTGGTGTTTTCTGATTGAACATGATCTGCCGCATAGGTTTGTACTCGTGGACAGGATCCCTGGTACCTGCAGATATTTTGCATATGTCACGAAGCTACAATCTGGTTTTCTTCTTGTAGGGTGTGCACGGGGACAACATTAATGTTGCTGTCCCTTTGGGTAGGACACTGAACACATGTTGGGACATTGTCCGTGATAAACCATGCTGCCTGTCCGACATGACGGATATAGCCGAGGGAAGTGCACACTGTCATAACTGTGAAGCGATTAACAGTCAAAGAGTGTGGTTCTGTCACAAACGACAAACGACGTTCATCGTTGCTCGTGCAGTGCCCTACTGTAAAGTAAGTCGGTTTTGCAGTGTTGGTGTTTACTTCTGGTAGCTGTTGGCGAATGGATCCAAGTTTTGCCATGTCACTGTGGTGTATCGGACTCTCACAAAGTCTTCACTGGTGGCCTTCGCGACACCTTACCACCCATAAGCCATTGTCATATTATTCTCCTGATTTATTGAATAAACGTAGGGTAAACATGGCCTCTTCGATGGTGGTAGCTGAGTTACGTCGCGTCTTCGTAACTGTAGCCAAGCGGTTTCCAATGATAAACATAACTGCTGGCTGAATCCTTTGTCGGAAGAGTATTGTTCGAATCCTTCGTTGTGTAGCTACTGGTGGGCGACCAATATGGGGACGGTCTATATCGTGATTGATGTGCTGTCGATTTCAACATAAGTGCCAAGCTGTATTTCTGTGATTCGATGCTGCGTTGTAGGTGGGACGAACGCATTCCTCTCTTGGTGGTTATAACATAGTCACGGCAAGTCGAACTTGTTCCAGACCGATTAATAAAGGTGCATGTTTCCCGACTTCTGCTTTTTGTAAGATTGCATTGAATGCAAATGTTAAGTGTCTGGTTGTCTGGTCATTTAAACTTAACATTGTTTGCCATGTTTGTCGAATACGTCATGCTTCTTGCACATTTCTTGCAAATCGAACAACAACTGATTGGTCTCCCAAAGGATTAAACATGGTCTTTCTCTGGTTTAATTCCAAAAAATTTCTTTCACAAGATTACATGACCAATATAAATATTCCAATAACATGGAATATATAATTTCACTACAGCGTGATAACAACAAAAGTGCACACAAAAAGGTTTCAGTTCAAGTACACACAGGAAAGAAGTCAACTCTTTCCCTCTTTGCATGTACCCATCCAATGTTTATGGATAGAGGACTTCTATTTGAATATCGGAAGATTTAATGTGTCATGTCATCCAAAATAGGGCAGCG